GCGGGGCCGTGCCGTGGGCCGTGCCCGTGCCCCGTGGGCAGAGTGACTGGGTGCGGGCAGCGCGTGTGTCCTGCGGTAAGGGCCGCCCGGCAGATCCGCAGGTTTGTGCGTGCCGCCTCGGGGCTGTACCACACCCCAACTGTGCTGTATGTGGGCTGCGGGAGGCTCGTGGGCCGAGCTGCCGGTTACAAGGGTCGGTGGAGATTCGGGAGTTCCATGAAGACCGAACTTGTTGTAGCTGTTGGAAGAGAGGATGGATGGATGGAGGGATGTGAGGCAGGAGGGCTGGCGCGGCTGGAGAGGTGATTCTCTCTTTGCTGCTGGCCTTGTGTCTTCTCAGCTGCTCTCAAAGGAGCCCGCGGCTGAGCCAACCCCCTGCCTCCAGCAGCTCCAGGCAAGCTGGCTCCCTGCTTCGGGGTGCCTGGGACCCCGGACCCACCACCCACACCACAGTCCTCAGACTCGTTGCCACCCCCTCAGTCTGTCGGGGCTGTCCAGACTTTGTGGCTGACGACTGATGTCTGCAAATTCCTCTGGGATCTTTCCTTCCTGTCTGTAGCTGGACCCTCCCAGGGCTGCCCGTCTGGAGCCCGGGGAAGCTCAGATCAGAGTGGGCAGAGCTGAGGGCCGTGCCATGTCCTGGGGAGGCTGGGTGGGGGTAGGAGCTGCAAGGAGCTGCTGTGACCTGCCCTGGCTTACAGGGTTACAGCAGGATACTGGGACATCAGGTAGCCCAAAGGGGCTGGACCTGGAGTTGACAAGGGAAGGGAAGTGCAGCCCCAGCCCCACACAGTGCTCTGCCCTTGCTGACACCCCGAGAGCCAGAGTGTCCTTTCCTCAGCAGGGTCCCTGTCCCTGCCTGGGATGGGGGCACACAGTGGGTGGTGGGGCAGAAACCCTGCTTTCGGGGCAGCGAGGGGCAGTGAGCTCCCAGCCAACAGGAGGTGATGCCAAGCCTGCCAGGGTGGCCAGGTTTCTGTGGTGACCCTGGGCTGCTCCCCAGTGCTTCTGAGACCAGTTTGTTTGTGGTATCCTGGTCTCCTCCAGACTTTGGCAGTGCTGACCCTGGAGCTTCGATCCATGAGGGCCCTGCAGGCAGGGAACCAGCAGGTCCCCTCCTGAGCAGGGTGGGAGTGTTGAGTCTCCCCTGCTTCATGCATCCCAGGACTGCTGGGAAGCAGGAAGAGCGAAGCAGGCTCATCCAGGCAGCCGGATTGCGAAAGGCCCAGCTCTGGTCTGTGCGTGCCGGGGCCCTGGGGACAAGGGGAGGGATGGAGCGCTGAAGCCATGGGACTCACCAGACCTTCTCCTGCCCTGAGTGCTGGGGACGTGACCTCATGCTCTGAGGGATGTCCTGGCATGGACCTCAACAGAGTGTGACTCTATCACCCCTTAACGTTCCCAAGGAAGGATAAACAGAGCAAGCTTCCTCTCCCTTGTGTTGGCGGGTTTCCCAGGTCCTCGGTCACTTGTGCTGCTCCTCTCTGAGTCCTCCCAGTTGTCAGTGCTTGGGATGTTCCATGTCGCCGTGCATGCGTCCAAGGCTGCTGCTGAGTGAGCACATTCCTGTCGGGCCACGATGGCCTGGCCTTCCCCTACTGCCGTGGCTTGGGATGTCATCCCCGTGCCGGCAGGGATGCCCGGTGCTGATCAAATATGCGGACTCGCCCGGGGACCTGCTTCACCAGGAGCTGCCCCTTCCCAAGATCCGTTCACTGGGGTTTTGCTGGGGCAGACTAATGTCCCTCTGCATGCCTGGTGAGTGCCAAATGACAAACCTGATTTGAACAGTCCTTGGGAACTTGCAGCCCCCCCTGGGCCCTGGGCACCCCCGCTTGGCACCGCTCACCCTGCCAGCCCCTGTGCAGGACACCTGGGGGAGCACAGTGATGGTGGGGGCAGTGCCTGGCCATAAGGGCTGCAGGCCCTATCAGGGTGACTCTGTCTGGGGGGGCGTGGAAACCACTGTCACTCACCGGGTCAGGCAGAGCCAGTAGGCTGGCATGGGAGCAGGTAGAGCAGTGCCGTGGCTCCTGCTGCCATGTGGGGCTGCCCTCTGCCCCGAAGGGTCCACGTGCCCGTGCCAGCCTCAGCAGCTGAGGGCTGAGGCTGGGGGATGAGGGGAACCTCAGGGTTTTGGCTCTGCAGGGCTCTTGGACACCCCACTACTAGTGCCAGCTGTGCCCTGGGCTGGGATGTGACTCGAGCCCTGTGCACACCCAGCTGGGACATTCCTGAGGTTTCCTGGGCAGTGGCAAGGACCTGGGCTGCTTCCAGGCTCCCACGCCCTGTGCTCACTCCAGCCAGCCCATCCTCCCGAGCCCTTTCCCCTTGCAGTGGAGTGCTGCCGTGCATCTCTGCCTGGGGCAGCATGTTGAGCATGGCACAGCATAAGCCCTGGTCCAAGAAGAGACTGTCCCTGGCTGGAGTGGGCAGCTGGCAGCAGGATGGTCGGGGTGCTGGGGTGGGCTCCCCATCCAGAGCAGCTTGCAGGACCGGAGCAAAGCCTGCCAGCGGAGCAAGCAGCCGGGCAGTGTCACACAGCTGGAGAGGAGCAAACGCACAGCTTATGCCTCTGAAAATGGAAAAAGTGATGTGGACAAAGAGAGCCCTGTTAGCCTGGGACACAGACATGGAGCATGTTCAGAGAGGGAGGTGGTACAGAAACAGGGAAGAAGCTGTGCTGTGCTGCAGGGAGCTCACCCTGTCAGCCCAGCAGCTGTCCTGGGCCGGGCACGGGAAGGGCTTTGGCCTGCACAGACCTGAGCAGGGCATGTCACTGGGAAACTCCGAGGTGAGTGGCAGAGCTGAGGTGCCAGGGCAGAGGAGGTGCAGTGGGGACAAGGGGCACCGGAGCCTGAGCAGAGTTGAATTGGGACCTGGGAGAAGAGATTACAGACCCTGGAGGTCACGCTGCTGAGTCTCAGTGGGGACTCAGTGCTTTACCCAAGCACTTTCTCAGGTGCCACATTCTGGTCTGTGGTCCTACGTGATTTGCTCCTCAATGCACAGACTTAAATTTTCCTTGTAGCCAAGGGTAAAGGCTGCACGATGCTGCTTTACCGGGCTGTCCAGGTCTGTCCCTGTCCCCATCCCTGCTCCCCGCCCCGTTTTTGTCTCTGCAGTCTGTAGGAGGAGGGGACTTTTTTCCTCCTCCTGGCACAGTTTTGCTTTGGAAAACATGTGATCCTCACCAGAAAGCCCACAGAATGGTGACTGACTTCCCCATGTAACCACATTTTAGTTCCAGCAGGTGACCAGTTTTAATCCACTTAGCAGAAGGTGCACTGATTTTGTTGAGTGCTAATTATTCATTAAAAGGTGGTGCAAGATGAATCGAATGCCTTCCAGTCTCAGCCTGTTGTATCCACACAGTTACTCCAATTAACTGAACCTGTGATCTCATAAAAGGCCATTCCCACTTCCTGACATGGGCTATTTCTGCCGGACTGAGGAGATTGGCATTAATTGTGCTGCTGTCCTTTAGGGTTGTACTGACCCCATTGTGAAACAGCCCAGTGACTGCCCACAGCTGCAGCAGAGCATCCTGCTCACTCAGGGCAAGAGCCAGGGAAGCTCCAGTTCTTGTGTGCTTGCAGCTTTCCCCATGGCACTAGGTGTGTGACAGCTGGCACTGAGGGGGCCTAGATTTGTGTGTCAGGATAGCTCTGAGGGTTTATAATGCTTCCTTTGGGCAGGGCAATGTCCCCTTGGTAACTGATGGGCAGAATAAGAAGGTTTTTTTGCTTCTGTGAGTGGTAAACTCATCCCTTTGCTGCTTTCCAGGTGATGTGGAGATGAGGATGGAGCGTTCCCGTTCCCATACCCAGAACCCCCCTTTCCTAAGCTGTTGGCAGGGCTGGGATGGCTCTTTCTACCCGCCCTCCCTTCCTCCTGCCAGGACAGGCTGGGTAAAAGGTTCAGCAGAGCGTTTCCCTGCTGCCTTCCCACAAACGCTTCCTGCTGGGCCCTGCTGTTCTCATGGTGCCAGAGCAGGCAGCAGAGGTACTGGTAGCCCAGAGCTGGCTCCCACCAACCCCAGGGGCCCGGGTGCCTGGGCCAGTGCATGCTCCTGCCTGTGCCATGTCCCCACCAACTCTGTGGTGTCCCCTGTGCCCCAGCTCCGACAGAGGAGAGAGCCAGATCTGTGCTGATGTGATTGCACCGAGGGGGCTGCTGTGCTTCATAGAATCATAGAGTCTATATGGCTGGAAAAGACCTCCAAGATCGTCAAGTCCAACCTTTTACCTTTTCAACTAAACTAAGCACTAAGTGCTTAGTCATTCCCACCACTGTATCTGGGGGAGAACTGGACCAGTGGTGCCGGTCCTTGTTATCTCTCCCTGAGCATCTCTGCAGACACCTGGTGCTCATCCCGAGGGACCTTCTGCTCCAGGTGGCACCTCTGATGTGGTGTGTGCCCAAAGGAGCAGGCAGGCAGCAGAGCTGGGCCCTGTGGGGACTTCTGTTGGTGCAATGGGCATGGAAAAGGGGCTGGCACTGGGCACCATCCTGGTTCATCCCTGCCTTGGCCCAGGAAGCATTCCCAGAGGCTGGAGTGGGGACCAGGCACCCATCATCTGGAAAAGTGAACAGAGCAGGAACAGGGCTGATTCCTCTCTAGAAACCCTGCCCTGGAGGTTGCTGGGGTGGTGGGGCAACCGTGCCAGCCTCCAGCCCTACGTGGGTGGCCAGGCTGATGGTGAGGACCTGTAGAGGCTGTGCTGTCTGGGAGGACGCCCTGACTCCCTCACTCTGAGGATCCCTCCCCAGACTGGCCCGGGGACAGTGAGAGGAGAGCACGGGATGAAGCCTTGCAGGGAAGCATGCTGGCACCATAGGGTGGATCTGCAGGAAGGGTCCCTGTGGCACAGCCCCAACTGGGAGCATTGTCAGGATTTGAATTTGTTCTCCTTCCTCTGTGATGCTGCAGATAAGCTAGACCTAAAAAGTTAGTGCTTTTTAATCTTGTCTAATGACAAACGCAGTGTGTGTGAGTGTGGCTGGCAGGATCTGTGCTTGGGGGGATGTGGGGCACAGAGATGTCCTGCTGGGGGTCTGTCCTGGGGGTGTTTTGGGGTCTGTGCTTTCCCACCGTGGAAGGGACTGGTTGGAAGGGTGGCATGGGACTGCAGTGCTGGGAGGAGGGTGGGTGGCTGTGCTGGTGGTCTTGGGTGAGCATTGGCCTGAGCTTGCTGACAGCGCCTGTGCAGAAATGCTGCTCCTGGGCTATGGGATCCCTGGGAATGCTGCACCAGGAAGGGAGGGTAGCTCACAGAGAAGGGTTTTCACTATTGTTTGCGATGGGACTGGTGCAGGAATACCACATCTCCCTCAGGTATTCAGGGAGCCACAGATGTTGTTGGAGTAATGGAGAAAGGCAGCACAGGAATGTGAATGCTTTGGCTGCCTTGCTCCTCACAGAGGGCAAGAGCACGGACTGGAATCCTCTGGGCCAGCAGCCGTTCACTTCTCTTGCTGGATCGAGCTCCTGGTCCATCCAGCTGAACTTTCCCTGTGCCCTGGGACTGTTCCAGCTCCCTCAGCCCTGGCAGCTGATCCCCCTCCTTCCAGCCACCCCTCTGAGGGTGACCCACATCTCCGTGCCTGTCTGTCCTCGCTGCCCTTCGGTGCAGTGGATGTGACC